TGTATATATATATATCCAAATGTAGAAGGAGAATTCTAAAATCATCTTTTCATCTCTTGCACATATTTCAATCAAAACTAGAGATTAAATATCACATCAGTTTTCATACTTTTATCTCCATGCATCAATTCAATCATATTTGAATTGTGAATATCTTATCATTCTTCATTACAATATTCAGTTCATATCAAGTTCATAGATAAAATATATTCTACTCATAGTAGATTAACTTAAATAACGTTTTCTTTTTTTTTATATTTAGTAACTGATGCCAGAACTCATTGGTAGTATATGTGCTGGAATTTCAGTATGGCGATCGACTATTCATTACATAATATGGAGGATTTTTTAAGAATTTCTATCCAGTTGCTCTATATTCAGCTACTGTATGTAAAATATTCATAACCATATTTTTGATTAGTGCCATTATATTTCATCAAGTTTTATTTAATATTGAAATATTAAAAAAAGACAGACAAACAACATTAATAATAATTGAGATTCACATCAACCTCAGATATTTTAACATAAAACGTACAAACATATACAGATCTTTTCTAATAATGAACATTTCAAACGAATGAGAATACAATAAAAGATGAATTAAGACAACATAATATAGTCAACAAAAAAGAAAACTATTAAATTAATCAGTGATAACGACAAATGTAATGGTATATAAATGTAAAATATCGTCTATCAAACAAAAAATCAAACAAACAATTTTAATTTGTTACTATTAGCATCCATGAGAGAATTAACAAATAAAAATAAATTAAAAACAAAAGTATTTCTTTAGAGTTTATTTACATATCATTCTACTTTTCCAATCGTCATTGATTTACACAAAACTTCTTAGTTGTCATTCGTTTCATGATATTCTCTATTAACAATATGAAATATTGTTTTGAAAAAAAAAAGATCTTTTATCTCAATTTAAGAAATCAAATTCCAGGTGAGTCTACATTAATATCTACCAAAAAAAACAACACTGTCACTAGGGAAGTTAACAATATGAAAATGAAATTTTTTTTTTCTATCTTAAAATCATTATTTATTTTAATCATATGAATGACTCGACTAGCAAAGAATAGAATATTAAATAACTAATTCACTAAAAACAATTTTCTATATTTTTCATTTTGATATATCATTTTTTTTGCGAAATAATTCCAGTTTATTTTTGTAAAGATAAATACATTTTTACTTTCCTAAATATTCTACGAAAAAATCGAAATGACTACTATGTTGAACACCAACTAGATGAATATTTTCGCCAGAGTTGCTAAACAATATTACTGAAATACTTTTACAATAAACAAATAACAAGAAACTATTTGTTAATTGTTTTTTCTTACGGACTAATTATATAAAACCTTTTCAGCAAATGCAACGTCATAACATACGTCTTTCTGTTATTCTACGCTTGAGCAACGCATATTTTGATGTTTTAAAAAATATTTTGAAAATAAAAAATGCTTTCATTTTCCTTATTGTTATTAAATATGAGGACGTTCTTTTCTACTAAATGAGAGAACTAGAAGACTAAATAAGACAGTGTTTCTTTTCCTACAATCAAAATCTACCATCTTTTATCATATTAAAGCAAACATTCGACATAACTATATCTATTCTTTTATAATCCAATAATTATTTTCTTCTTAACTCTACAACAATCAGTATTCATTCTTATTTCTTTTCTTCTTTTTTTTTCTTCACTCTATCATTTGTCACAAGTATTATATTATTTAGAAGCAAACAAGACTTCAATACTCACTACACAAAATAAACCATTTCTTTGAATTGTGCTAAGTTATATTTATGTGTATTTTAATCAACTCACTTTTTATTCTTTGTTTGTTTCTTCAGAATATAAATAACGATGGTTTCTTTTTATCGTCATCTACTTTTGACTTTATTCATTTTGATCACATCACAGACATTAGAGACAACAACAAATATTTGGCAATCAATTTTTGATGTATCTAATCTTGGTCTGGAGTTTTCTCCTGTTGATGAGCAAGCTCTTCTTCTGCTGGATACTACTGCCAGATCACTTTTGAACTGTGCTCAAATGTGTCAAATGATTGCACGATGTCGTACATTTAATTATGATATTCAAATGAAACATTGTCGTCTTTATCAAGGTGATATCGATAGCACAGGTGAAGTTGTTCCATCTGTTTCTTCTGAATCAGTTTGTGGATCAATAAAGCTCATTATGGAGAATTTCGCTGATTATGGTGGTCCTTGTTCGATTTGTGATGGTAGTCGATATTTAACATGTATAAACTTGACTTGTCAATGTCAACCTAATACATTTTTCAATGGATCAATGTGTCGCAGTCAAAAATTAATTGGAGGTGGATGTACAAGTGATAATCAATGTCGCCATGATCTCAATCTGAAATGTCTACTAAACAATCAATGTGGATGTAAGTATGATTGCTGATTTCTTTTACTTGATATTCAAGGATTATGTTAGTGAAGAGTTAGTTATAGAACTGATAAGAGAACATCCCATAGTGCTCCCATCGTTAATTATTGAAAGATAAAATGTAGTGTGCATATGAAGTGATTCTTTTAACGAGCTGTCCATTACTTTTTTTAGACAATCTCACTATGAATTACACGATTACCGCTACTATCACTACGCCAACTAGTCGCAGTAGTTCTACTAGCAGTTCATCAACAACAAGTGAAACTACTAGCAGTTCATCAACTTCAAGCACAACTACTAGCACCACATCCACAACAACTACGACCGCTAGCAGTTCATCAACTACAAGCACAACTACTAGTACTACATCAACTACAAGCACGACCACTAGC